CTGGGTCATGTTGTGTTGGAGGATTTTAGTCAGTAAAATCATTCCAGGTTCTGATCAAAGTGTTGAAGCATCAATCATGAATGACCTTTGACCTGCTTGACATGAGGGGGATTTCTACACACTGGGGGTCCGAATGCTGTCCTGTTCTGACCTCAGGTCAGCAGGTCCAACTCAGTTACACAGAGGGACTAAATTAAACTCTGGATCCAAGTCCAGGAACAAACTCAGAAAATATTTATTAGAACAGAAGATATGAACTTTGATTTATGATCAATTATAGATAATTATTCACTGAAATATTAACTGAACTAAAATCTTACTCCAATGTCTCCAGTCTGCAGCCTTCAGTCTGTAGAAAACCACAGAGCTCCTTCACTCCAGAATCTCCCAGGTTGGTTCTGTTCAGGTTCAGTTCCTTCAGATGGGTCGGGTTGGACTTCAGAGCTGAGAACAGAGACGTCCATCTGGTCTCTGACAACCTACAGTCCATCAATCTGAATAAAGAATAAAAGATGAGCTGAAGCCAACAGGATGCAGTTAAGACTGAAATATGAACAAATAAATAATAAAAATGTAGAAAATTAATTTCCCTGAATGTAAAGAAACTTGATGAACTGATTCTAACATCTGATCCAGTCAAACTGGTTTAAAGAGTCCAAACCAGTAGAACCAGAACATTTAATCATGTTAGAATATCTCAGTGGTTCTGGACTGGAACCAAAAAGACCTTCAGAACCAAACTGTGACATCACAGCATGATGAGGGTAGATGGTCCTTTAATGAGCAGCTGGCCAAGTTAAGGAGGCAGATGAGGTCAGAGGTCATCCTCCAGGTCGTCCTCAGCAGCAGCCTCACATATAGTGAACCTTAAAAAGTTTATCATGTTTATTCTGTATATTTGTTTTATTTCTAATAAAATACCAGGCCTGTTTTCTAGATGGTTCCATCATAAACTTACTGATGATGATCTGGAATCTGAACTGATTATTGATCTCAATGTTTTATTTATGATGATAAAATGTAAACATTTCCTTCCATTAATTATTTTCTCATTTTCATGTTAAACTGGATCAATCAAAGATTCTCCAACTCTAATATATTTTAGAAACATCTATGTAGACATGAACATCATATTTATTTATATAATTTGTGGATTTTAAATTAATTATTTCCGTCATTTCTCCTTTCCAACAAAGTAAAATCTACTGTGGCATCTGAAGAGTCCAAGGTTGTTTTACTGATAATGAAACTGATTGACTTTATTGATCTGATTGATTTTCATTTCTGTTTCTGGTTCATAATTCAAACAAAACTTCTAACATCTTTGATTTATTTTTCCAACTACAGGATGTTTTGACACAAAGGACCATTTTATATTTCTGAACTATTTTAATAGTAAAGGTGAAAATAATAAAGTCAATTAGCTCAATAATAAAATAATTGACTGTAAATAAAGTCTGAAGGTTCACAGAGCTGGAAATCTAAAGTAACTCCCTGTTAACTACCAACAAACTACAGCAGGAGCTCAGAGTCTGACTAGATCAGCTCCAGTCTGGACATGCAGGTGATCTCCTGCTGATTTAAAGGATCATAACGATCCATCAGGTTGGGAATAATAACAGGATAATTGATCAGCAGATAAAGGAGACTAGATTCTGATCACTGATCATATTTACAGTTATGATCAAATCTAATGTGTCGTCATGACGACATTCATATGGAGACATTTAAAATAATCAATTCTTGGTCATAAACTGCAACAATCCTCTCCTGATCTAAAGACACTGATCACTGAGTCCAGGCTGGTTTTCAGAATAAAAACCTCCTGGTTTCCTTCCTCTTTTCCATTCATCCATCCGTCCATTTTTTTTCACCCTTGTCCCTCAGTGGGGTCGGGAGAGGTGCTGGTGGCTATCTCCAGCTAACGTTCTGGGCGAGAGGCAGGGTACACCCTGGACAGGTCGCCAGTCTGTCGCAGGGCAACACAGAGACACACAGGACAAACGACCATGCACACACACACTCACACCTAGGGGCAATTTGGAAAGGCCAATTAACCTGACAGTCATGTTTTTGGACTGTGGGAGGAAACCGGAGAACCCGGAGAAAACCCATGCATGCACAGGGAGAACATGCAAACTCCATGCAGAAAGACCGGGGCCGGGAATCGAACCCAGAACCTTCTTGCTGCAAGGCAACAGCTCTTCCTTCCTCTTTTCATTCCCAAAATTGAGGTCAGACAGGAAACTGTCATTAATATTTAATCCTTTAAATCCTGTTGGGCTAAAAACTTTATTTCAGGCACAAGATGTGGCAGAGCAGCAACAACCAAATAGTGAGTTTTATCATATGTGCTCTACCATAAGTCCAGGCTGGAAGAGATAACTTTAATATTTATAATAATATCCATGAATGGCTTCAAAAAGACTCTCAGTTTTGAACAAGATGTTAGAGCTTTTAAAAATGAGAGGGAAAAACTTTTTAACATTTTGTTAAATTATTATTATAATTATTATCATTTTTGTTGTTTTGATTGTTGTTGTTGTTTCAGTATTTTTCATCAAAAATCTAAAAAAAACATCATTGAATTATTAGTTTCTCATGTTTAGACCAATAAATTTTAAAGTTGTATAAAAATGCAATAAAAATTTAACTTAAATGATGTAAGTTCAGCAGCAGCCATTCAAAACAGACTAAACATTTAAATTCAAACTGATTGTCACCAACAGTTGCTAATCTTTTTATGGCCAAATTATCTTAATTTTATATAGACATGGGATAGAAAAGTGGATGCTATTTTTATATAAACTTGTCTATTGATTTATAGATCAATAATTTTACTGTCCAAAAATTAGAAAGAACAAATCTGGTTCTGAATCAAATCAACATGAGTCAAACTGAAAGTGTCATGAGTCAAAAGCCTCATGGATGGAATTAACATTGATATAAAAAAATAACACTAAAAATAGACATAAAATAAAATCTCATTGAAAACCTTACAAAGTGATAAATCCATTTTTACTATTATGGTCTGTAAAGTATATTACAGTTTTAGTTGTGGTCTTACATTATAATTGAAAAAAATAAAATCTCAGTTCTTGCCATATTCTGTTCAGTCTCTTGTATTAATTATTACTCAAAATGTCTTGCCATATAAGCATGTTCCTTTGTTTATTTGTTTATTTTGCATTATTATATTTGTGTTTTTCTGTTTAGTTTTCTTAGATCAGTTTTACATTTTCTTGGTTTATTGTTGTTTCCTCTTTAGTTTCTCTTCTGTTATTGGCTTCCTTCAAATTGTATTGCTTTCACACTAAAACATGGTTTCTGACCTTAATTGTTGTATTTTGCAGCCACAATCCTGTAGAAAACCTTCTTTAGGAGTGAAGAAATTCTTCACTCCAGAATCATCCAGGTTGCTGTAGCTCAGATCCAGTTCTATCAGATGGGACAGGTTGGACTTCAGAGCTGAGAACAGAGAAGTCCAGCTGGTCTCTGACAAACTGTAGCCCCCAAATCTGAATAAAGAATAAAAGATGTGAGCTGAAGCCAACAGGATGCAGTTAAAACTGAAATATGAACAAATAAATAATAAAAATGTAGAAAATGAATTTAATTAAACTGATCTGATGCTGGAAAAGACTAAAGCTACAACTCTCCAATAACATCAGAGCAGAGTTTTTTGATGTCAGGAATACTGAATGATGACTGGCTGATACAACTGACCACACAGCACAGATCATCTATATAAATATAACTGTGGTGGTGAAAATGTGCACCAGCACCAGGGATAACTGCAATTAACAGTTTCAGATTATTTGAGAGCAGAAGCTTTTACTTTTCGCAGTTATTTTATGTGACATATTTAGGTAATAAAGCCTAGGCGTAAATTCAACCTGGGAGACTCTCTTCAGCCTTCTGCATCATCGATTACCATGCCTCAGCCAACCAGAACCAGATTGTCGCTCTGCTCTAGCCAATCACTTTGCAAGAGCTCCTTCAAAAGGCCAAATAACCACCTTCACTAGCTGCACCTGTGCTGTCTTCAGGAAAACGGGATGTGAGAGTGTCATCAATTAAATTTCACCACATGACATACCGTGTAAACCAGAGTTTAAGTTGAAAACATGAGGGCCAAACCAACATTATCTTACATTATAACTGAAAAAATAAAATAAAATCTCAGTTCTTGTCATATTCTGTTCAGTCTCCTGAATTAATTATTGCTCAAAATGTCTTTCCATATCAGTGTGTTCCTTTGTATTTAGTTTAGTTTGTTTATTTTTGCATTTTGTTCTCTGTGTTTTTTGTTTAGTTTTCTTTTATCAGTTTTAGATTTTCTTGGTTTATTGTTTCCTCTTTAGTTTCTCTCCTGTCATTAGTCTCCTTCAGGTTTTATCTCCATACTAAAGTATAGTTTCTTACTCAAATTTTTGTAGTTTGCAGCCTTCATTCTGTAGAAAACCACAGAGCTCCTTCACTGCAGAATCTCCCAGGTTGCTGTCTCTCAACTTCAGTCCTGTCAGATGGGTCGGGTTGGACTTCAGAGCTGAGAACAGAGACGTCCAGCTGGTCTCTGACAAACTGCAGCTGTACAATCTGAATAAAGAATAAAAGATGAGCTGAAGCCAACAGGATGCAAGTTAAAACTGAAATATGAACAAATAAATAATAAAGAATGTAGAAAATGTATTTAATTAAACCAATAAGATGCTGTAAAAGTTTAACACTATAATCCTCCAATCACAGAGCAGAGTTCTTTGATGTCAGGAATACTGAATGATGATTGGCTGATACAACTGACCTCCAGCTCAGATATGACAGGATACTCACAGGACTGAAAGTTAGATTTTATTTCAGATTTAGAAGTTAATCAGTTTTTTTGGGAGGAGGGAATTTAATTCAAAACAAAATTCTGTCTAAATAAAAGACAGAATCAAATGTTGAACTTTAACAAGTTCTGTATCATGTATGTTTTTTCAGATTATTGTCTTTTTTTTGCTATAGTGACCTCAAAGGGCTGCCCCAAATCGGCCCAGAAGTGGTCCGAGCGCCGGCAGTTAAACAGCCCTGCTCTAGATGGTCTCAGTCATGGTCAGTAGGACCCAAACATGGGGACGATTGCTGGATGGACAGATGTCCAAAAGACAGTCATGGACAATAAGGACAGAGGCCTGGAAAGGTCAAGAAGCTGGTTGTTCAGAGAGCTGCATCCAAAAATATTCAGGGAAAGTTGAGCGGAAGGAAAAATTGTAATGGTGAAAAAGAGAACCAGGGATGACTGCAGCCTTGACAGGTTTGTCTGGGGGAGCTTGACCAGGAGTGACTGAGGCTGGAGACTGAACTTCTGGATCCACCACGCTCAGATGGACCTGAGCCGGTCTAGTATAGCTTTAACTAGCATGACTTTACCTAGCATAGCTTTAGCCAGCATAGCCTCACTCTCTCTCTCTCTCACACACACACACAGCAGCCTGATTGAGATTTATTCTGTTTTCTGCTGATTATTTGTTTGTAGTTTCAATTTAAAGTTCCCAGTTTAGTGACGATCAGACTTTATTGATCCAGTAATTTAACTGTAAAGTTGGGCTGCTGTGTTAACAAATTGTGATGTAAAGAGAAGCTGTGTGTGTTTCTTCTTCATGTGTTCAGTGTTTGCTGATTGAAACGCCAGCGTTCAATTCTCTCCTTCATTTGTTGCTCTATAACAGCTCAGCTCATCCAGGCTGCTGCTCATAGAACAGTGTTTCTCAACCTTTTTGGGCCAGCGCCCCCGCAGCCCTTATCCAGGTCCCTCACCGCCCCCACCAAAGTATTTGCAGGGTACTTTGCTCTGACCATTATTTTATCAGTAATATTACTATCACTATTGTAGATGTTTTTATTTTTATGCTTGTTTCTGTATTTATCATCAAAAATAATTTCCCAGAGAACAAAAAAACTCATGGGAACAGAAATTATTTTCACAGGCGTCTATGAAAAATGCAATGAACATTCAAGTTAAAATCAGTAGGCCTGACAGCAGCCAATCAGAGTGGAAAAATATTCTTGTTCTGTGCCATTTTCTAGTTATTAAATATTAGACAAAATGACCAGATAAAAGATGAACAACATGCCAGTTTAAACTTTGATGTATTTGCAAAACGACTGAGCTCTGCAACATTAAAACATGGATAGAACCGTAACTACATTAATCATAACTCTTCTTCTCTTCAGTGATTGTCAGTTTCTGGTGGTGCAGCTCTGTGCTGCCTTCGGGAGAATGGGACATCAGAGTATCATCCATAAAATTTCACCAACATGGCTTTTATTGTTCAAACCAGAGCTTTCAGTGGAAAAACAAAAGTTCCAGGTCCTTTTAATGCCACACAAATATGAGACAGAAACATGGATTATATCTTCATTAGACCTGTCTATTGATTATAGATTAATAGTTTTACTGGACAGAAATTACAAAGAACAAATCTGGTTCTTAATCAAATCCTAATGAGTCAAATTGAAAGTGTCATGGAGTCATCAGTCTCATGACATTAACACTGACATGAAAAATAATATCGAAGAAACAAATATATCAAATCTAATTAAAAACATAAATAAGTGATAAGTTATTTACTGTTATGGTTTGTAAGATATATTTATTCTCAGTACTAGATATGGTCTCAACAAACCCATGGCACTTCAATAATATTATTTTACCTTTTATCTGGAAATAGTGTCTGTTTATTCTTGCCATACAGTCTCTGCATGGCAAGAATACAGATTATTATTGCTCGAAAGGTCTTGCCATACCAGTTTATTCCTCTGTATTTACTTTAGATTCTTTGTTTATTCTTGCATTTTGTTCTTCATTCATTTCATTTAGTTTCGTTTGATTAGTATTATCCTCTCTCGGTTTATTGCCATGTCCACTTTAGTTCCTGTTGCTAGATTTATTTTATCATTTATTGACCATCAGTAATCTTCACTCATCACCTGCTGCGCCGCCTAATCGTCATGTTTCACATCATGTGTTGATTTTTCACTGTTCAGCGTCAGATTCTCTGTTTTTATGCCATAATTCACATCTAGTTCGTCGCTCCGTTTTATATCCCGCTTCTCCTGTTTCAGAGTTTTGCGCGATGTGCGAGTCATTTTTTTAAGCCCCTAAGGTGCAGGGCGGTCGGGAAGCGTATCGATGGGGAAAAGGCAGACTGACATAAACCTTTTAAAACAACGGAAACAATTTCTGCATTCTGATTATTGAGATTTAAAAGTGTTGTGTTGTTCCATCACTCCCGTTTCATACCGGACCACTTACAACACCGGTGTTAACGCTATAAAATGAACGCTCTCTATCGTGGTATCACCCATGGAGGGATTTCTTTATTTAAATGGGTTCATTTTTCAGAGGGATACACAGTGAGGGCAGTAGCAGGAGAACGGAGCTGCGCCAAGAAGCTAACAGAAGCTACAAACACTCAATACAAGAAGAGCATACAGTTGCAGCCACGCATGTTTTAATGTTACACAATGCAGTTTTACCAAGTTGCTCTAACTGACATTGTTGTGCATTTAAGGTGTAAAGTTTACCTTCGACCAAACGCCCCCCAAAGGCATCCCAGCGCCCCACTTTTTTAAAAATGTCCGCCAGCGCCCCCTGCTGTCCTCTGAACGCCCCCTGGGGGGCGGTACTGCCCACTTTGAGAACTCCTATCATAGAACAATAACCTACATAGACTGAAGGCTTTGGCTGCTGGTTTCTGATCATCAGCTGGAGACCCGACTTGGTAACCGGATCAGAACC